CCTCCGTTGGTCTCGCGTTGTGATCATGTCAGATCGTGTCTTATTGCACTGAGATAACCCAGGAGTAAATACAGTAAACAGTGGTCTATATTAAATGGTGGTTTATATTACACTATCTGCAATATCATACACCAGGAACAATATACATACACGTGGCAATACAGCAAACTCCAACATACAGCAGTTAACAGCAGAAAACGGACGAGAGAGAGAGAGACACTCCAGCAAAAACCTTCCCTTTTATACTCAGGCTCTTAAAGCGACACAGACCCTGCTTGCTCTTAAAGGGACACAGACCCTGCTGAGACATTCCTGTCATTTCATCATCCACCTTACATTACATCACATCATTACATAAGCTGTTTAGTTATTAAATTAATACCTTGACAGATCGTCACGACCTAACAACCGTGATCGGCAGGCTCCATTACGGTCGTAAATAGAGGACTACCCGTACGCTGCCCTCTTGAACAGGCATCCTGTAGCTCCAGGTGGCCAAGCCCTAAACGTTGGGATCCTCCGAGGCTGTCCGCAAGCACCAGTACAGGCGGTCCTCGACATAACGACCCAATTTTTTAGTGGCTGTTCAAAGTTACAACGGCACTGAAAAAAGTGACTTAACGACCATTTTCCACACTTATATTCCCCAGTTGTCACGTGATCAAAATTTGGACGCTGGACAACTGACTCCTATTTACGACGGTCGCCACGTCCCCGGGTCACGTGATTCCCCTTTTGCGACCTGACCGGCAAAGTCAGCGGGGGAATGCCGGATTTGCTTAACAACCGGCTTACTAAGTTAACGACAGTGATTCCCTGAAGAACCGCGGCAACGGTCGTAAAACGGGGCAAAATTCAGTTAACTTTCTTGCTTAGCAATGGAAAATTCGGGCTCCATCGAGAACTACCTGTCATGTCCAGGACTGGAGTGGCTCCCTGCCTCACCCCAATTTTTATTTATTTTTATTTTTTTGAAAAAAGGCTTAAAATTCTTTTCTAAAAGGGAAGATGGGATGACCGGGCTCTTGTGATTCGCATTAGGAGATACGCCACAGCCATAAAAATTGAAAATATTTGGGATCTGAGTGGAATCAACTGAACTATTGTCCAATCCATTATCTACACACGCTTTTTCTAAGACGCTGACTCGGCCGTTCATAAGCTCCCCTGCGACTTTTGAATTTTTCGAGTTTTATTACATAAGGTGTTCATCCGTCCAGCGCAGTTTCTGCCTCAAAAGTCCTCAACTTAACGACGGAAATGGAGCCTGCCCATTGCGGTCGTCGGGCCGCGAGGATTGTAGAGCGGGTCACCCGCACGAACCGACCTGAGGTTGCAATCTCTTGAGCGGCCGTCGTAAAACGAATGCCGGCAGTCGTTAAGCAAGTAACTAATAAGGTACTGTAGGTAGGCGACTCCATTGTTGGCCTTTTTTTCTCGTTAATTTGCACGAGTCGTTAATTAAAGCAGATTGAGAAATTTCCTGCCTGAACGGGGGGGGGGGTGTTGGATTAGATGATCTCCAAGGTCCCTTCCAACTTTATTATTATTACTAGCTGTACCCAGCCACGCGTTGCTGTGGCTCAGTCTGGTAAAAGCGTGTGTTGCTTTTACGTCCAACAGATGGCGCTGTTTTTTTAAAAAAGCATGTTTTTACCTGTCACAGGTGTGACATCTATATAATATAGGTATATAAAAACACGCGCGTATTTGAATGCAACGTTGTGTCAAAATTTCAAAGCAATCGGTGAAGAACTTTCGGAGATTTAAGATTTTGAACAAACGAACATTTACATTTTTATTTATATAGATGATGATGATGATGATGATGATGATGATGATGATGATGATGATGATTATTATTATTATTAGGTTGTTAATGCAAATCAATTGGACGCTGTGGGGCAATTTTTGAAGAAAATTAGAAGTTTCCTGCAAAAATGTCGTAAAAGGTGGTCAGGTGCTTCAAACAGCAGTAAATGCTGGCCAGTTGCTAAGCAACCGACATGCGGTGGTCGGTCACGTGAATGTCCGAACTTCAGAACCGAGTATCTTTGGAGGATTCTGTCACGACTGTGTCTTCTGGTTCTCACCTTTCAAAAAAGAAAGAAATTAAACTAGGTTTGTTGGAGGAATGTATCAGAGCAGTAGTCACCGCCTCCAAATGTTGGCTAGTTTATGCCCCCCCAACTTTTGCAATAAACTCCACTGAAGTTCATCTTGGCCTCTGTGGAAACATAAGGGAGGAAAGATGGATCCTGGCCATGTGTAACGCGGGGGGGGGGGGTGTCCAACCTTGGCCACTTTAAGATCTCTGGACTTCAACTCCCAGAATTCCTCAGCCCAACATCTGCAAGAAAGCAGCCAAACCAGCCCTCCTCCTCCTGCCCACAAAACTCTATCCCTTCTAGCACTGATGACGTTCCCTAGCTGGGTCATGAGACGTCTGCAAGAAAGCCACCCAGCTCA